ATCGCGTTCCTCGTCTCCCACGACAACCACGGCCACCAGTCCCAGCAGCTCCACCTGGCCAACCTCGACTTCAAGGTGGTGCTTCCCGAGGCCTTGAGTGATGTGGGTAAGTCTCCGAGGGGGGGTAAGGGGTGGCACTTAAATGAAAGGGCTTTCGGGATTTCGTTTTAATTGTTTTAGTCTTAAATTTCTTTGTCTCGGTTTTGGTTTTCTGGTTTGTGTCTTGCCTTCGAATCTTCATTTTTTTAAATCTTAATGTTAGTTCAGGTCTCAAATTCAGTCTTGATCTCAGTCTAAATCTTGTAGTCTAAGTCTCAAGTTCAGTGTTGTGTCTTTCCTTCGAACCTTCATTTTTAATCTTAATCAGTCGCAATTTCAATTTCAGTCTTAGTCTCAATTTTAGTCTCGATCTCAGTCTTAGTCTTACTCGGCTCTGAATGATATGAGTCCAAGTGGCCGCACTTAAAAGACTTCTCTCTCTCTCGAACCTTCATTTTAATCTTAATCTTAGTCTCAATTTCAGTCTTAATCTCAGTCTCAGTCCCAGTCTGTCTCAATTTCAGTCTTGTCTCTTTCCTTAGAACCTTCATTTTTAATCTTAATCAGTCTCAATTAATTAGTTAGTCTTAATATCAGTCTCAGTCTCAATTCCAGTCTTAATCTCAGTCACAATTTCAGTCTTAATCTCAGTCTTTAGTCTTACTCGGCTCTGAATGATACGAATCCAAGTGGCAGCATTTAAAAGGATTTAATTCTCTCTCTCTCGAACTTTAATCGCCACTGTGAAGTCCTCTTAGAAACTCCTGATTTATGGGGTATTGAAGGAATTTCCGAAGATGCTGGAGAAAGGAAAATACTTTTTTGTTAGTTTTATTATTATTATTATTTTTTTTTTTTTTTTAATATTGATGGATGTTGAGATTCAGTTAGCGTGTGATAGATAGATAGATAGATAGGTAGGTAGGTAGGTAGGTAGATAGATAGATCTAGGAGATTCTGTTAGCGTGTGATAGATAGATAGATTGATAGATAGGTAGGTAGGTAGGTAGGTAGATAGATCTAGGAGATTCAGTTAGTGTGTGATAATGTGATAGATAGATAGATAGGTAGGTAGTTAGATAGATAGATCTAGGAGATTCAGTTAGCGTGTGATGGATAGATAGATAGATAGGTAGGTAGATGGATAGATAGATCTAGGAAATTCAGTTAGCGTGTGATAGATAGATAGATAGATAGGTAGGTAGATAGATCTAGGAGATTCATTTAGTGTGTGATAGATAGATAGATAGATAGGTAGGTAGATAGATAGATCTAGGAGATTCAGCTAGTGTGTGATAGATAGATAGATAGATAGATAGATAGGTAGGTAGATAGATCTAGGAGATTCAGTTAGTGTGTGATAGATAGATAGATAGGTAGGTAGATAGATAGATCTATGAGATTCAGTTAGTGTGTGATAGATAGATAGATAGGTAGGTAGATAGATAGATCTAGGAGATTTAGTTAGTGTGTGATAATTAGATAGATTGATAGGTAGATAGATAGATAGATAGATGGATTTTTTTTTCTTATTTTGCTATTTATGCATTTTGGATATAGTAAAAAATAAGGATACGAGATGAAGAAAGGAAGAGAGAGTGAGAAAGAGAGAGAAAGTGAGAACGAGAGAGAAAGTGAGAAAGAGAGAGATCGTGAGAAAGAGAGAGAAAGTGAGAAAGAGAGAGAAAGGGAGAAAGAGAGAGTGAGAAGAAGAGTGAGAGAGAAAGAAAGAAAAAATGAAAAAGAGAGAGAGAAAGAAAGAAAAAGTGAGAGAGAGAGATAGAAAAAAAAAGTGAAAGAGAAAGAGAGAGAAAGAAAAAGTGAAAAAGAGAGAGAGAGAGAAAGAAAGAGTGAAAAAGAGAGAGAGAGAGAGAGAAAGAAAAAGTGAAATAAAGAGAGAAAGAAAGTGAGAGAGAGAGAAAGAAAGAGAAAGTGAGAAAGAAAGAGAGAGAAAGTGAGAAAGAGAGAGAAACAAAAACGGAAGGAAAGAGAGACAGAAAGATGAAAAGAAAAAAAGTACAAGAAACAGAAAGACAGAAGAACAACAAAAGAAAGGGAAAGCGAGCAAGAGAACGAGAGAGAGAGAAATTCAAAGCATCCGCCCAAACTCTCAAGAACTCCCATAAGCGATACCCGTCCATCGGCTTCCTTTGATATGCGCCAAAATCAAATTGTTTCCACATCCTCCTTACAGCTCTTCTCAGAAATGTCAAAACTTTTCCTTTTTGAATTCTTTCTCCACAAACAGCCATGGTAAAGTTCAATACGAAGCAAGATGTTAGATGCAATTGTGCAAATATTTACTCTCTCTCTCTGTTTCTTTTTTCTGTCTGTTGTGCTATTTATCTGTTTCTATCTCTGTCTATCTATATGTCCTGTCTATCTATTTGCTTGTTTTTGTTAGTCTGCATGTGTGTATGTATGTATGTATGTCAAGATGTCAATCTACCGCCTGTCTGTGTGTGTGTGTGTGTGTCTCTTTCCTGCCTGTCCGTCTATCTCTGTCTATATGACTACCTGTGCATCTACCTATCATCTTTCTATCCACCCGTCTGTCTGTATATCTATCTATCTGTTTATCTATCTGTCTATTCGCTTATCCATCTATCCCATTCCGTATATCTCTCTGCTTATCTATCTGTCTATTCGCTCATACCATCTATCCCTTTCTTTCCTTCCCTTTTGTCTATTCGCTTACCCATTTATCTCTTTCTGTATATCTATCTCTCTGCTTATCTCTCTGTCTATTCGCTTACCCATTTACCCCTTTCTGTATATCTCTCTCTCTCTGTTTATCTCTGTCTATTCGCTTACCCATTTATCCCTTTCTGTATATCTCTCTCTCTGCTTATCTATCTGTCTATTCGCCTATCCATCTATCCCTTTCTTTGTCCCTTTCTTTTGTCTATTCGCTCATCCCATTTATCCCTTTCTTTCCTTTCATTTTGTCTATTCGCTTACCCATCAATCCCTTTCTGTATCTCTGTCTCTCTCTCTCTCTCTCTCTCTCTCTCTCTCTCTCTCTCTCTCTCTCTCTCTCTCTCTCTCTCTCTCTCTCTCTCTCTCTCTCTCTCTCTCTCTTTCTCTCTCTTTCTCTCTGCTTATCTGTCTATCCGCTCATCCCACCTATCCCTCCCCAGGATCGTGGCTCCTTCGCTGCGAGTTCGAGGACACTCTGTGCGGGTGGTCGCAGCCGACGACGGAGGGAGACTACTCGTGGGTGTTCGCCAGGGCCTCGCCGCACGCACGCCGCACGGGACCCATTACAGGTACGGGGGAGGGGAGGGAGAGAGGGGGGGGAGGGGGGAGGGGTAAGGGGATGGGGTGAAGGGGGAATGGGATGGGAAGGAGTGAAGGGGGGAGGTGGGGGAGGGAAGGGAGGAGGGGAGGGAAGGGGGTTAGGTTGGGTGGGGGTGATAATGATGGCGATGATGATGATAATGATGCTAATGATAATAATGATGATAATAATGATAATGATAATATTAGTAATACCAATGCTAGTAAAGTAGAATTGATAATAATAACCATAAGGAAGCTCATTATATGAACGAATAAAGGACAAGACAAATAACTTTATTATTCTCTCCTCTCTCTCTCCTCTTCCTTGAACCCTCCCTTCAACCTTCCACCCGTTCCACCCTCCTTTCCCCTCCCCCCCTTCCTCCCTCCTTTCACTCCACACATCCACTTTCCCTAACCCTTTCCACCCTTCCACCTCCCCCCCTCCCTTCACCCTCCTCCCTCCCTCCCTCTTTCCACCCATCCCCCCATCCACCCTTCCCTCCACCCTCCCTTCCCTTCCCTCCCCTCCCTCCCCTTCCCTCCCCTCCCTCCCCTTCCCTCCCCTCCCTCCCCTTCCCTCCACCCTCCCCATCCACCCTCCCTCCCTCCTTCCCTCCCTCCCTCCCTCCACCTTACCCCTCTCCACCCCCTCCCTCCCCTTCCCTCCACCCCTTCCCTCCACCAGGCTACCCCGACGGAGGGCATTCGGGCTTCCTCTTCGCCGACTCCCTCCACGGCGTCGAGGGGAGCACGGCCGACCTGTTCAGCCCCCCCCTTGTGCTCCCGGGGGGGTCCGATCCGGCCCTCTGCTTCAGGTAGGTAATGGGGGGGGATGGGGAGGGGAGGAGGGAAGGGGGGGAGGGAAAGGGAGAGGGGAGGAGGGAGGGAAGGGAGAAGGGGGAAGGAGGGGAGGGGAGGGGAATGGAGAGGGAGGTGGTAAGGAGGGAGGGGAGGGGGGAAGGGGAAAGGGAGGAGGGAGGGAGGGGGAGGGGGAAAGGGAGGAGGTGGTAAGGGAGGGGAGGTGGTAAGGAAGGAGGGAGGGGAAGGGGAAGGGAGGAGGAAAGAGAAGGGGGAAGGGGAAGGGAGATAAGGGAGGGAAGGGGGGTTCGGGTAAGAGAAGGGGTAGGGATAGAAAGGGGGAGGGTAAGGTTAAGGGAGAAGGGAAGAGAGGGGAAGGGGAAGGGGAAGGTGTGTGTGTGTGTGTGTAGGTAGGTATCTGGATGCAAGTGTGTGTAGGCGTGTGTGTATGTATGTATGTATGTTGCTTTTTTTTTAATCTCCCGTCTTTCCTAATTTACACAACGTTAGCTAAAGGACTCTGACGCAAATATGCTTAAGAGTCTCCAATGATTGATCGCCTTCATAAGCGAGTTTACGACAGCTGTTTCGCCAACTGTTACGGAGAGGTTGCGTCATAAAAGTACATTGAATTCTCTCTCTCTCTCTCTCTCTCTCTCTCTCTCTCTCTCTCTCTCTCTCTCTCTCTCTCTCTCTCTCTCTCTCTCTCTCTCTCTCTCTCTCTTCTCTCTCTCTCTCTCTCTCTCTCTCTCTCTCTCTCTCTCTCTCTCTTTCTCTCTCTCTCTCTCACACACACACTTTCTCTTTCTCTCTCTCTCTCTCTCTCTCTCTCTCTCTCTCTCTCTCTCTCTCTCTCTCTCTCTCTCTCTCTCTCTCTCTCTCTCTCTCTCTCTCTTTCTCTCTCTCTCTCTTTCTCTCTATCTTTCTTTCTCTCTCTTTCTCTTTCCTTCTCTTTCTCTCTATCTCTATCTCTATCTCTATCTCTATCTATCTATCTATCTCTGTCTTTAATACATCTGTCTATCTGTGTATGAAATCGATCTATCTATCTATTTATCTCTCTGCCTATCTATCTATCTGAGTGTATGTATGTAAGTATTCATAGACAAAGCTTTCCCACTGAATTATTCCAGCCATCGCATTAACGCACCTACGTCATATGCCACCTTAGTGACTGCCGATAATAACATGTCATATAAATTATGCATAGAGCAACCTTATTCAATCCCTTCCAATGTTAATCAAGAGCGAGGGAGGAGGTTGTACAGAATTCCAAAGTAACGACCCTTCAGTATTCTCAAACTTTCTGTTGATACTCGCACTTAAAAGGAAAAAAACAAAAAAAATAAAATATAAAAAAAAATAAAGCTAAGGTGATTTGTCCATTAATATTCCATTGACGTGAATTATAGAGCTCGACAGTTGGAATAGGAATCTTAATGGATTGCTTCTTAGGTGTGTGTGTTGGAATGCTTCTCCCTCGCTGAAGGATTTTTTGGGGGAGGGGGAGGGGGGAGTGGAGTGGCTTTGTTTATTAATTAAGTCTCTGTGGATATAACGGGGTATATTCTGAGCCTGGGTTGCGTGTTGCCTTCCAACTGTTGGCTGTGTCTTACTTACGTAGTTGAATGATTTGTTTGTGTCTGTTTTGCTACTTAAGTACATGCATACCTGCAGTCATACATGCATATATACTTATACATACATACATACATACATATATACATACATACATACATGCATACATACATACATGCATATATATAATATACATACATACATACATACATACATACATATGCATATACACACATATGAACATACATACATACATGTTTATATACATAAATGCAAGTATGCATATATAAGTACATACATAAACAAACATACATAAGCTCACATATGTATATCTGGATCTAATTTATATCGACATCATCTATTTATCCAATATATATGAGAGTGTGTTTGTGTTTATATTGCATATATGTGTATATGTGTATATGAATGTGTATGTGTGTTAGATGGTGTATCTCTCACCGATTAAAAAAAAAAAGGAAACAGAAAATTTAGTAAGTAAGAATGGATAAATAGCGAGCAGCCGTCGTCTTTCCCCGCGAGTGCCCTGACCCCCCCACCCCCCCACCCCCAGGTTCGCCGTGTTCCTGTTCGGCGCCCACGTGGCCAAGGTGTCGGTGCACGTGCTGCAGCGCATCGGCGACGGCACGCACACGGCCGAGCTGTTCCACGCCGTGGGCGGCAAGGGGCTCAGCTGGATCCCGACGGGCGTGACGGTGGTGGAGGAGGACCTGGCTGACCCGCGGGCGCCCCTCGTGCTGGTGGTGCGGGCGACGCGCGGCGCGGGACCCGAGGCCGACATCGCCCTCGACCACGTGTCCGTCCTGCGCGGCGCCTGCCACCGCGACCCCGTCCTCGACACCAACGTCACCCTCCACGCCGCGCTCGCCCACCCGCACGCCCTCGCCTTCTCCGCCGGCCCCGCCCTCACGCCCGCCCTCAAGAGCCACCTCCCGCAGGCGCAGGAGAGCGACCAGCCTTTCCGCGGGGCGCAGGGCGTGTGCGAGAGCCTGGCGACCTGCACGGAGTGTGTGAGCGACGCCACCGCGACCTGCAGCTGGTGTGACCTGACCCAGACCTGCCTGACCTCCACGACCCTGCCGGCGAAGGCTTGTCCGGACCACCTCACCGTCCACCATAACTCGGTAAAGCAGGTCACGGGGTCACAGGTCAAATAGAAACCCTTAGATACAAACATTGTTCTAATTTGACCCATTAATCAACAGCTCTTTGTTCTTCCCTTAATTGTTATCGTCTCGGGATTTCGCAAATATCTGCAGTTTCTTTCAGTAAAGATTCTTTTTTTCTCTTGTATTCACTTTACGGACGAACAGATGGAGGTGGGTTGTAAAATACCTCTCCTTTGTATGTCTGTCGACTTGAATGTTTTATTACGCTTTATCAACCTTGTTTTTTGTTTATTTTTATTTGTTTTATTGTCCTGGCTTTCGGTTTCTCTTTGTCAGGATATCTATGTTTTTTTTTCTCTCTTTCTTTCTTTCTCTCTCTTTCATTCTCCACTCCTCTCTCTGTCCTCTCTCTCTTTCTCTTTTTCTCTTTTTCTCTTTTTCCCCCATTCTCTCTTTCTCCTTCTCTCTCTCTCTCCTCTCCTCTCCTCCCCTCCCCTCCCCTCCCCTCCCCTTCCCTCCCCTCCCCTCCCCTCCCCTCTCCTCCCCTTCCCTCTCTCCTCCCCCCACTTTCACTCCTCTCTCTCTCTCTCTCTCTCTCTCTCTCTCTCTCTCTCTCTCTCTCTCTCCTCTCCTCTCCTCTCCTCTCCTCCCCTTCTCTCCCCTTCCCTCCCCT